CTCTGCCACCCGCGCCGCCCTCGCCCTCGCCCTCGCCCTCGCCCTCAGCCGAGCGGAGTCGGGGACACTCCCCCTCGTGGATCGACTCCGCCGAGGTGCATCCCTGCCCCGTGTCACTCGCAGCTCCCCGTCTCCCGGCCTCTCCGGCCTCAGGGTCCCGGGGGCCTCCCTCCCTCGCGAGCCGCTGCCCGCTGCCCCGCGGGCTCCCTCAGGTCCCCGGCCCCGGGATCGTGGTCCCCTCCCTCAAGTCGGGGGTCCCGATTCCCCTCCACCCGTACCGGGGGAAAGGAAAAAGGGGAAGGGGAAGAGGGAGGGTCTCGACTTTCGGGTCCCTACCGGGTCTCCGGGTCCACGGTGCTCAGGGCGGCAGCAGCGGGGCAGCCGAGGAGCCTCCACAGAGGACGCCAGCGCCCGGGGCGCTCCGGCTGCGCTCCAGACCCGAGCCCCGCTTCCGCCTCGCGCCGGAAGGCTCTGGCCAACGGCGCCGGAAGTCCCGCCCCCCTGCCCCAGCCCGCTCACCTGCCTGCAGAGCCCCGAAGCGGGCTCCTCTAGGGCGCTGCTTCTCCGTCCAGGGGCTCGGCCGGCCCCTGGGCAATCGCTGGGCCGGGTGCCCGCTCCGCCCTGCTCACCGAGGAGCAGGATGGCTCGGACACTGCCCCCCGCCCGCACAGTCCCGGTGCAAGGTGGCGTAAGTGCAAACAGGCTGACCCCCCCACCAGAGGCAGTGCCAGTGGGACACGAGCATCCCCATACCAGGTCGCCTCGCTCCTTTCCTGGATTCAAGGTTTTGTCACCTAGGATATTATCACTCATTGAACCGACACAGAGGAGAGCGAGCCCCTCTATTAGGGAGGGAGGCAGGCAGGCAGGCAGGGCAGTGGCCTGGCCCTCAGGAAGCTTAGTGTCCTATAGGGACAGACACGCGAGCGAGCAGACAAGGGCACTGAAGACATGAAACATTAAAGGGGCTATGGCAGGGCTGTAGGGAATGCTGGGGTGTAGGGAACTGGACAGAGAAAGACGCTCAAGGGATCTTCAGTTGAAACTAAAATGAGTAAGAGTGAAAGGCCAGACAAGGCGGAGGGGGGCATGTAGAGGAGCAGGCTGCCAGAGAGGGAGAGCCTGGCTTGACCAGGGAGCTGGGGGGCCATGCAGTTAATTTAGCAGGGCCTGAGGTCCTAGGGGCAAGAGCCAGCACAGCCAGAGGAGGCAGGGCTGTTGTGCATGAGACCAAGGACTTTGGACTTTAGACTCCGTGCAACAAGAAAGGGGAGGGGGATTCTCTAGGGGTGCAGGCAAGCTAGTGAGTTATGGGGTTGACTAAGGTGACTGGCCTAGTCTTCAAAGAAAAATAAAAACCAACCAATCGATCGACCAATACATGCATGCATTTAAAGAAAAACTGTCATAGTTACCATGGGGCTGGATGGCTGGGGCAAATCATACAATCAATATGTACATAAGTCTGGAGGGAGGCTTCGGAAACAATGTATTGCAAATTCTTCCTTATACAGAGAGAACCAAAGTCCAACTAGACATAATGGTTTCCCTAAGGCCAAACAGTTCAATAGTCCCACATACCGGACCAGTTTGAAATCTCCTCTCTCCCAGCCCAGTCACCTGATTTTCTGCGGTCGAAAAGGCAATACCACCAGGACGCTATGTAAAGTCCTTAAAAGTGTACTATCCAGTCCCCTACCTACTCCCCCCTTTGGAGTTTACCCGTATCTATCTAATGGCATCAGCCTGCCTGCGGCATCATGACAACTGTTCAGGAGACACTTGTAACCACAGGTAATAGACATGTTACTCTGAACCAGGGGAGAACATTTTAAGGAAAATTTTCCTACGAGTTTTTACCAGTACGCACCAATTGGCTCACACAGATAGACAGGTTCATTAATAGAGCCAATGAGTTTAGTTGTTTAAAAAGCTAATTTACACCTACATTCTCTGTAGTCCATACATGGGTGTTTTTCTTATTTATTCTTTTCACCACCAACATAAACATCAACACCATTAGCAGTTGTATCTGAAACTATCTCTCTTCCCTGTGCACATGCTGTAATTTAGTAAATTGAGGCAAAATAGACTAGTCTACAGATAGGTAAGTCCCAACAGCATGTTCCCTGCGATATTAACAGTCTGCTGGAAAATTTCATTAATTAAAGATTGCGAATTGAGTGATAATTAAGGTCAACTAGTTGAGAATTAATAAAGGCAAGTATAAAGGCAAGGTCCCTTCTAGGAGGACCTCAATCTTCTGTAACTCAAGAATTCTCCTTAGACTAAAGTGAGCGATGGCTCTTTTCACATTTAGGGTGGTGTTTCCCTCCTAACAGGAGAGCTTCCTCAGAAATGTTTCAATGTGATTGAAACATCTAAAAAACGTGACCTTTGATATTTTGGTCTAATTGTTTTATTGTCGTCAAATATATAAAACACAAAATTGCCCATTTTAGCCATGTTTAAGCGAGCCCTTCAGTGGCATCAAGTGTATTCATAATGTTGGGTAGCTATCACCACCATCTACCTCGGGAACTTTTTCACCTTCCCAAACTGAATGTCCATACCCATTAAGCAATAACTTCCTATTTCCCCCCTTCCCTAAGTCTAATTTTGGTCTAATTTTATAGGTTTGTACATCCCATAAAAATATTGTCAACACAGATACACCCTCTCTTGAGGTAAACATATTTATAAATAGAACAAAGAGAGGGCCTTATTCACCTCTTTTCTTCTGTGGAATTCAAATGAAATGTTTAACAATCACATATTTCGTCTTGAGAACTTTTTAAGACCTACACCAATAGAAATTCCATATGTAAACGAGAAACACAGCAGGGAAACTTGGCAAGAGGCTCACTAATGGGAAGTTTGGGTGCGCGAGTTCCCAAGGACTTGTGCACAAGTTAATAATTCTAGACTCCAATCTTTGTCTTTCTGCAAAAACAATGGGCATGCCACGTGTCTGACTGATGCAAAAGCCTCGCTTTGTTTGATTCCCAACAAAATGAAAGCCAAGCAGAAATGCTCCTGCCAGAGAAAGCTTCACCTAAATTTCACTCCATGGCTTGATAACTGCAATAGGCACACAGCTCTACCCCTAACTTGAAAATCTCACCACAAGGTAAGTAATAGAATGAACTCAAACCAGGCAGAAGGAGCTGTCCATTCCTCGAGGCCTTCACACAGAAGCTGAGTGACCCTCTAGCTTCAATGAGGAGTGGGTGAGAGATTGCACCAGATAACCTAATTTCTCCCTGAGTCCAGGAGAAATCCAGAAACAAAGTCTGTGTGTTCATATATTTTGCTTAACGTAAATGAACTCAAATTGGACTCCAATGTTATCACTTCACCTTCCCCTCAATTCTTAAACTAAAAAACATGAGTATACACATAGGACACACCATAACTTGATTTTCCAGCTAATGGGGTTTGCGAAAGTTCACAGAAGGAAGAGCTCGACTTTCCTTGTATTACACACAAGGGGTCATTCTTCCAACAGGAAGACTTGAGAAATGCAAATTTAGTCTATTCCTATTACTAAAGAAATCAAATACGAAGAAAAATGATAAAAATGTAGCAGCAGATGTGAGAATGAGCCTAAAAGTAATATCAGTCCTGGTTACCTTAGCAAGGCAAGTAGGCACATGTTTAGAATATTAAAATTATTCATTAATGGTGTGAAATGCCATGTTTTAAAATGAATGAAAACAATGAACTGTTTTGGCCAAATCAGCCCCAAACACTTAAAATGTTGGGTTACCTGGCTAACTTGGTATTTACCTTCCTCTCTCCCTGTTTGCTCAAAGACTAAAGAAAAGATAAACTTTCTTGCTTTTCTTTTTAAGGTTCCAAAATGATGTTAATAGCAGAGGTAGGTAACATCCTTTCTATACCTTAGAAAACATCCGTTTGTCTGAAAAGCTGGGCTCCCCTCAAGATTCTCCCCGAATTCCAGGCACTCACAGGCCCTTTAAGACACCAAGAGCCATCTGCTATGGGCTTTTTAAAGAGTTCATCCCCGGTGGCTCAAATGGATTTATCACGGCCAACAATAACTTTTTCTTGAAATTTAACATCTATGAAAATAAAAAACAAAATCGGTTTAACAACAAAAGTCTTTAAGCAAATAAAAAATATAATGCTGCCCACATTTCTAAAGCAGGGATTTCTCTGCAATCTGCAAGGGGAAGAAACAGTCTAGTTCGCAGGGCACCCAGCCAGCAGATCTAATTGCAGCTGGGAAGGGTGTAACCCTGTAAACTAAACGGGAATCAGCCACCTTTGGCTCAAGTTCGCTATAATCTCAAGTAGCTTATCCCATTATGCATGTAAGTACACTTAGACTTGTCAGATCACTTAGGGACGTTTTCATTTCAAAAGTACGATCATTGAACCTTTGACATTTAGGCCACTAATTACTTTGAATGCTGCTGGAACAAGACTTCTGAGAGAGATGGTTCCTCAGGCAAAATTATGGAGCATAATCATCCGTCCCAGAGCCCCTCCTTGTTCCAGACCCGTTATGGTTTTAACTCATAGTGGAGGTGTGAGCTGAAGAGGTCTTCAGCATTGATCTTCTAGGGGCGTTTTCATTCCCTGAAAAATATTCCTTTAAAAAAAAGGTCTTCAAGAATTAACTAAGTGAAGCAATAATAGTGGACTGGTATACCAGAACACGAGGTCCTCAGTTTACCGGGCCAGCCCTTGGGCCCAGGCCTTTCCACCCCTCCCAGTGGGAGGCCTGAGCTTGGTCTGTAGCCCAGGGAACTTCGAGATCCCTCTGCCCACTTCCCTTCTCCCTCTGTTCTCTCCTCCCTCCCCACCTCCACCCTGTTCCCCAGCTGTTCCAATGTCACCAGACTGGGTGCATTAAAAAAAAGGGGTGCACATTTGAAAAAGGGTGCTCTCTGGCCAAATCATAAATGAAAAAGAGCTGAGCTGGTCAATCTAAACAATGGGCCGCTTACCCCGTCCTCGGTTAAAGTCTAAGCTTGTGAATTCAGCCGGGCCACTGCCCCTCACCACCCCTCTGCTGTTGGCTGAAGTATCTACCCGCCTCCAGGCCACAGCAGGCATTTTCCCTCCTCCAAAGGGCTTGGGTGGAGAGTCTTGATCTGAACGGTTTGCGCAAGCCTGACAAAAATAAAGAAGAAAGAAGAAAGACAAATCGATCCTGGCCAATTGAGCTAAGAGTACTGACAATAAATAAACCCTGCCTTTGGGGATGGCTGGCTCTCTCTGCTCCCGGGCAGCAGTCCTAGTTGGAGGCTCTAGGGCCATTGTTGCAGGGCCCCCCACCCACCCTTGCTTGGGCCGCCTTTGAACAAGTGTTAGGCTTTGCTCTCAGGCTCCTTGGTTTTTCCTGGGCCCCACCCAGAGGTCAGTGATTCTTAACCTCATCTTAGTCGTGGCCCCTT